CAAAAAATGAGGAATTTCAAATAGTTAATTTGATACTAATATCGATATATTTTTGTCAAATTTGTATGATATCTTCAAATATATATTTTATTCAAAAATAAAAACATCATCGCTTTCTCAAAATCACATAAAACCATATTATAACATCGACTGAGATAAATAATAAAATACAATATTAAAATCACGATGTATCTCGCTGTATTGCGCGAGTACGCTTCTAGTAATGTGTAAAAGAAACAGGTGATCACAATGTGAGAAAAATAGGTGGTTACAATGTTTAATTGAGACAATATATTTGATAGTAGTTCACATTGTGATACTATAGATTTTTGGTTTTGAATTCAATGAAAATGCTTGACGGGTGTTCAAACTTGCTTATTGTTTTTGTTCACAGTGTGTATCAAAATCCTTAAAAAAGTTCTTAGTGATTTTTAGTTTTTTGGTCTTATGTTTTTAGTGTTTTTGTGTTCACATTATGTTCATTCGTGATCATGATGGGTTACTTGGTGATACTTGTTATGTTAACAAGTGTTCAAAATGTGTTAGGTTACCTGTTAGGTTTAGTTTTATTTTTTTAGATTATTTTGTTAATGAGAGGAAAGAAAAAGAGGAGAGATGAGAGAGAAAATTTATAAATTAACCATAATAATCTTTATTTAAAATAATTCAAAATTACCAAAATTATTAATTTTTCAATTTAATTTGTAGTTTATATTGGATCTGAAGGATCTCACAAATTGTATAGTTCTTAAAAGAAAGCTCATATATATATATATATATATATATATATATATAACTCATCGCATTTGTACAACCAATGCAACCCAATAAATTGAGATATTTACGGAAATGATGAGAGTTCATTTATTATGATTTGAATATTTATGGAAGATGAATATTGTTCATTAATTATGATCAACACTTTATACTAGGAAACAATCAAAACTTCTATGAAATCACATATTAATCAAATGAAATGGACGGTTGAGATTGAGTTGTACTGGTTGCACAAATGTCAAGGGTTGTATAATAATCAATATCTATATAAATATATATGGTATATTTTAAATGCAATCATGTTCATTTGTATAACCAATACAACCCAATTAACAATTAAGATAATTATGAAAATGATGGAAAATTTATTTATTATAATTTAAATATTTATGGAAGATGACTAGAGTTCATTAATTATAATCAATACTTTATATATATTAGGAAACAATCAAAACTTTTATGAATTCACATATTCATCAAATTAAATGGACGGTTGAGATTTAGTTGTATTGATTGTACAAATATAAAATGTTGCATAATAACTCAGAAGACTCTCAATATTGATATTGGTAACATTTAATTAATTAATTTGCAGGATGAGTTATTATGGGGGGCAGCATGGCTGTTCATAGCATCAAGAGATCCACAGTATATGAAGTACATACTAGAACAGTCAACAACTGCTACCGTTTTTGAGTTCAGCTGGGACCTCAAATATGCTGGTGCCCAGGTCCTTCTTTCTCAGGTATATACATGCACACATATACATATACATATACATATACATATACATATACATATACATATACATATACATATACATATACATATACATATACATATACATATACATAGAGAGGGTTGAGTTCAAATGAAAAGATGATCAAAGTAAGCACGAGAATACCTGTATCATATGTGATTTACGGTAAAATCACATGCGATTAATGAACAGGGAGTGTGCGTGCGACCTAGGTGGTTTAACCTTTTCCTTAATTACATGTGATATAGGTGTTCTCATATTTTCTTGCTTTGACTTAGTTCTCATTTAAATCTCCTTCTCTCTCTCTCTCTCTCTCTCTCTATATATATATATATATATATATATATATATATATTATGGGCAAATTGCATGAAAAAATAACGTATCTTAACTTGTTTAGGTAAGTACTTTGAAAACTTCTATTTTGGTTCATAAGATGTAAAATTTTAAACATTTAAATACCCGGATAACTGGTTGAAACATTAACCGGTTACCATGTTAATGTGGCGAGTGATGTGGTATCCAACTCAGTATTATTTGCTATTCAACCCAATTTTATCTCATCATTCGCCAAATCAGCATGATAATCGGTTAATGCTTCAACCAGTTAATTACTCGAGTACTTAAATGTGTAAAACTTTACATCTTAGCTACCAAAATGGATACATTACCCAAAAAAAGAATCAAGCTAAAGTACCTTATTTTTTCATGCAATTTGCACATATGTTATATAGGGTTGGGTTCCGGTAAAAAATAAAAACTCAAAATCCGTAGGAACCATACCAACTACTTTGTTACAGGAGGTTCACATAAGTTAATATGTACGTACGTTAAAAGAGTGAGATTCAAAGGGGATTAACGTATTTTAAAACTATTGAATCTAGTGGTAGTTTGTTCATAACTAATGGGCCGTTTATCTTAATACTAACCGGTAAGCACTTATCAGTAAAATTCAACATTATCTTTTACTTATCGGGTAAGATTTTATTTTCTAAAACGCATCGTATGCAACAATTTATCCCGGTAAGCGCTAACCATGATAAGAGTCGTCATCCTCACTTACCGGGTAAGACTCTTGATTCTTGTCTCCGCTCTTACAGGGTAAGATTCTTAGTCCTTATCATATTCATCCGGTAAAATAAAGTGAACTGGTAAGCGCTTACTCGAGTAAGCATTTGGTAAACAGCACCTAAGAAAGTATTTTGTTTGGATTGTAATCTTGTGTTTTTCTGTACAAATGGAACAGTTGTTTTGGGAAGGACAAAAGGAGTTGCAGTCGTTCCAGCAGCAGGCTGATGGATTCATATGTTCAGTTCTTCCAGGAAGCCCTTACCATCAAACTTTCATGACTCCAGGTCTCTCTCTCTCATACACACTACAATTAAGTGTCTGTTTGTTAGTATCTTAATAAGTTTAATAATACTCATAGCTTATTCGGTCAACTATACATGAGTGTTTTAGTAGTGATTTAATGATATATAAACTGACTTATTCAGTAAGCTTTTGAGGAAAAGGTTTAATGTAGAAAACTAAGTTTTTTTTACCAACTCTATTTCTTCCGATTAAAAAACTAGCTTCTTTTGTTGATGAAAGAGTCATTCCCAAAAAAGACCTTCTCAATCCATACAGATTAATCCATACATACAACTTTATCCATACATGACTTAATAGAAAACCAACCAAACAAACCCTTAAGTCTATAATAAAAGCTATGTTTGAGAAACTAGTTGAAACTAGCTATTGACTAATAAGTTAGATGATAAAATAACAATGTTAACCGACAAAAACTAGATGATAAGTTAAATGACAACGCAAATTAACCTAAAAGAATGCTGAAAATTTTATTGGAAAAAATTTAAGGGGCATAATTAGAAAATGACAATCTGAACATTCATAAACGCCACGAGACTTCTCAATAATCACAAAATTGTCACCGTACAACTTTAAACCGTTAGATCATTAGCTTATAAAGTTGATCAATGAACATAAATTGGTCTTACGGATCTCATGAAAAACTCTTGGTCTCACGTGAACCCAACCCTCTAGTAGTATATAGTAAATAAATCGTCTTATTAGTCTTGTACATGACATTTAAAAAAAATGTCCTTTTAGAGAAAACGACTAATAGAACATTTTTCAATATATGTTCTATAAAAAGGACTAATAAAACAATTTATTTCTTGTGTTTTATTAGATTGTCCAACTTCGTCGAACTTGCTCAGTTGCGTAGGTTTGTCCTAACAATTTATCGCAGTGTCATTTTTATAAGAACCAAAATTGTTAGTCTTATAAACCTAAAGGGTCGTTTATCACACACTTACCGGGTAAGTGTTTACCGGATGTCATTTACTTCATCGTCTGAACATGACAGGGCCAAGAATCTTACCCGGTAAGCAGTGACATAAGGACCGAGATTTTTGCCCGATAAATACTTATTGGGTAAAAGATGCTTACCAACAATCAATTTCAATAGCCGAGAATATTACCGATAAGGTAAAGTGAGGGGTGACTCTTTGGTAATGGTCCTTAAGTTTCAATCATTAAGGGGCCGTTTACTCAAACGCTTAACTGGTAAGTACTTACCAATAGAAGTCAACACTATAATTTATTTTTTTGGGTAAGATTATAATGCATAAAAACGATATAGCATTCAACAATTTATCTGGTAAGCACTTACCCGAGTAAGAGTCGTCACTCTCACTTACTGGGTAAGACTCTCCATCCTTTCACCACTCTTACCGGGTAAGACTCTCCATCCTTTTACTTCTCTAACCGGGTAAGATTCTAAACTCTTACCATGTTCATGTGGTAAAGAAAATTACCCGATAAACACTTACTGGATAAGCGTTTAGTAAACGACCACTGAGTACTTTATTTGAACGTCCAAAATCGAGAATATATACACTTTAAAACCCCATTTTATTGTAGTGACCCATCTTTTTTCACGATGTTACCTGTATATAATCATATTATACGGACCCCAACCAAATATTCATAATCGGAGGAAAACAATTCACATGTGAATGCAATTGCAGGAGGTTATCTTAACTTGAGAGATGGTGCAAATTCACAATATGTGACATCCACAGCATTGCTTTTCAGTATTTACAGTGATTTGTTGGCTAGACACAATATGCAAGTCACTTGTGGTGACAAAAAATTCACTAGTGTCGAGATTATGGCGTTTGCTAAACAACAGGTATTGACAAACCGTTTGTCTGTACAACGATAACATTTGTCGGATAAAAATACGTTCTTCCCAAATTACCCGCCTCACCAATCACTTGGATACACTTCATTATTTTTTCCCTATCTACACAACAAATTGATGATGTGGCTTCACGTGATTGGTGGACAGTGAAAGGTCGGGAAATTTGGAGCTAACAATTTTTATCCCCCTTAACCTATTACGACGTTAATTAATGTTGATGTGAATGTATTATTAATTGCAGATGGATTATTTACTAGGGCATAACCCTGTAAAGAGGTCAATGATGGTCGGGTTCGGTAACAACCCACCGGTTCAGGCGCACCATAGAGGTGCATCGGTGCCAGCAAATGCTGTAAAGGAAGATATAAATTGTGGGATGAGTTTTGTTTATTGGTACAACGTAGATACACCTAACCCTAATGAGCTCACGGGCGCGATCCTTGGTGGCCCTGATAGGCAGGATCAATTCGTAGACAAACGGGTTAATTCATCATATACCGAGCCGTGTACCTATGTGAATGCGTGCGCCATCGGAGTCCTTGCAAAGCTTGCAAAACATCATGGCTAAGCATGATCATAAGTTTGTACATAACCCATAATTAGGGTTTCTTCGGGTCCATCTTTATTTCTTGGCAGGATACTTTCATTTGTTGTAATAAATATTGTGAATATACAAAATATACATATGGAAGTTATTCGGTTAATTTTGATCAAATTGTATACACCTCGACACATAATATATGCATCTTGAGTATATATATATATATATATATATATATATATATATATATATATATATATATAGACTTGGGATCATGTGAGACCAGCTTGTTTTCGTGAGACCCGTGAGACCAACATTTTACACTTGAAACTTCACAGCAAAATGCTGTGAAGGTGACTTTTTAAAACCTTCATACTGTTTTTGTTGTGAAGGTTCGACTTTTTTTTAAACCTTCACAGTGTTTTTGCTGTGAAGTTTACGTGTAAAAATGTGGTCTCACAGGTCTCACGAAAACAGGCTGGTCTCACGTGAACCCAACCCTATATATATATATACACACACACCCATGTTTCATCACATAACGGTTGTTGATAACCCAGTTGTTCGTTTCCTTGCATACTTCAATTTGCGGTGATTCTCTTTAAACTCTTTTGTAGTTCTTTTAGCTCCCCTGGCGTGATTCATTTATACGAGACATCCATCAAATGTTAGGGGCTGTTTACCAAACACTTATCCGGTAAGCGTTTACCGGTAAAATTTAACACTGTTATTTACTTATTGGATAAAATTTTAGTCCACTAAAACGGTATCGTATGCAACAATTTACCCGGCAAGCGCTTACCGTGGTAAGAGTCCTCACCTTCACTTACCGGGTAAGACTCTTGGTCTTTGTCTCGTTCTTACACCAATAAGATTCTTGATCCTTACCGTATGCTCATCCAGTAAGGAAAAATGACTTGGTATTCACTTACCGGATAAGCGTTTGGTAAACAGCCCCTAAGTATTGTTTGACAAAGATAAACTAACATATTTTGTGAAAACATGTTTAGATTGACATAAGTTAACTTATTGAAACGGTAGTTAGAGTAGCGTTTTAAGAGTTTTTTGATACTTTTTTGTAACACCCTCAAATCTAGAAAAAGTAACCGTAAGTTATCATGTGCCAACAACACGTGTCACACAACAATACTGTTAAGAAGTATGTAAACCTATAGGGTCGCACACAAAAAATATGTTTGCTTCTATTTGAATGTAACCCAAAAATCATGATTGACAGTTAAATAATTATTCTTGAAGAATAATTATAGAATATGTGTTAAAAGATAATTATGATAATTACAGGGTATTATCTGTAAATAAACATAGTTTTAGATAATTTTAAAATTATTTACAGATAAATATCAAACTTTATTTAGAGTTTTAGGATGACTATGATACCAGCATATGTAAATAGGGTGTCAGGTCAATTCAGTTAAATGATTCTCTGAATTTGGTTAATTAGTCCATATACACATATTTAGATTTAGAGTTCTTTTGGGCTAATACCTGTTGAAGGATCTACGTGTGTTCGTGTGTAGATCAACTGTAAAGGAAACCGTGTTTGATTTCTAAGTAGCGCATCAGATTTTTCACTAGATCAAAGGTACATTTCTAAACACCCTATGGTGTGTTATAATTTAATTAAATGTCTCATTAGATCCGACTTTGAGTTTTAAATTTAAAAAAGTTTTTTTTCTAAATTATTGTACCAAAATTTTTATTTTCCAATGCGTTTTTTGTTACAAGTTTCTTTTAAAACCCATCAGTAACAAATTTAAAAATTCAATAATACATCAAATAAAACATAGATCTCTGTCTATAAATCGATACTTGATTTCCTCAAATAACAAATCTAGAATTAACATCAACAAATGATAAAGCAAGCCTTATAAAAAGTCTAGGTTAAGGTCTATTGCTTATAGGAACACCACGCTTCCTACTTGACAACACATGGCATTCAACCCTTAAAGCATCAAAACCACAATGCTCACAATACCGGATCCCGACTCATAACAATTCACCTTCGCAAATACCAGGATGACCATAATACATGCACGAGCATTGGTCCGAAAAGTAGGGACTTCAAGACTGCCACTTGTCAAACACAACTGACTCACATGCCTATGGATCAAATGCATTACAGTGTAAATTAGATGACTACGAATGAATGACCAACACACTCAAACATGTAATTCTCAAATAAAATGCAATAAATGCATATCATATCCAAAACTCAACATAGAATAACTTAAATCGGACAAATGTTCCAAAAACTCAAATGAGCCACAATCAACCTAATATGCTCCACACCTATTTGGCAGTTCAATAAAAGTCAACACGAGCAATAAAAACACATTTGTCAAACGTGTATGCAAACACATGCTCCAAAAATATGATTAACTTAAAACCATCTTGGTTGAAAGAGTTCATTTTCCAAATAAAATCATACTATTTATATCTCCAAAATGCCTTCTAACACAATAATGTGCATTTTCCAAACGATTTATAAAACCAAATACATTAAGAGTGCATTGACGTCAAATAGTCTCTATTTATGCAATAAATCATCAAAATGACACATTCTTATGATTTATTTATCAAAATATCCAAAAATCTCAAATATGGACATTTCACAAGATTTATAAATCAAATGTATCCAAGATGCAAATCTTATCAAATAAACAACAAATTTGATAAATATCAATAAAACATCTTAAGACTCTAAATAATCAGGAGAACTTTAATCCTTTTTTTATTCCCTCTTTAAAGAGCTTCAAAATACGAAACTGTAGACTCAGGAATTGCCCAAATTGGATAAGAGACAATAAAGTTATATGATTAAATGAAGAAAAACCCAAAAAAATCGTGTTTTTAACCTTAGTGGCTGCAGGCGATTTGTGAAGAGATTTAAGTCGCTTGAAAAGGCGCATGAGCCCAAAAATCATCCTTCTAGAGTCCTAGAGTACTAAGCAACTTGTGAAGCGACTTACGTCGCTTGACAACCGACTTTACACTTTACTTTGTGTTTTTAACTTGTTTTGCGACTTCTCGTGTGATTAAATTTGCATGGAAGGTCCCTTAATTCCCTAATAATTTTCAAAACAACTTTTCTTCATCCAAAATCAACCGTAACTCTTGATTCAAAGAAAAGTGGAAGAGAGAGAGAGGAGGGGGGGGGGGGGTTGGCCAAAACCCAAGCCAAAATGGCTTTAGGTCGCGTGGCTAGTCCCCCGTCTCCCACCAGTGAGTTACGTGGCTAAAGCCGCGACTTAGGTCGTGGACCAAGTAGCCATGCCACGTGTCATGCCTTCCCGCATTGAGTGTTGTGTTGTGGCACGTACCATGCCGTGTCGTGCACGATGATTCGCTCACCATTTTTCTAATCGTTTCATCGAAAATGACAGGTGTTACTCATTTTAAATTGTAACCCTGATTAATATTCATTGTTATTTATTATTATCAATTATAAATAAATACAGACTAATATTAATAAAAAAATATATTAATTATTTAATTATAATTATACATTAACATTAACTATTAATTATTTATAATTATTATCAATCATATCAGTTATTTTTAATTATTATTTAATATATTTAGTCACCAAAAAATAAATGTAACAATCTAAAAAAAATGTTTGGCTATGTTTGGCAAACTAGTTGATAACCGATAAGTTAGCTATTAATTGAATAAATTTTTATCTTTTGTTTAAAGTTACATACAATCTTTATTTTATTTCATAGATAATAAAACTGTACTAAATGATTTAAATAAAATATTTAACAAATTATTAATTATATATATATATATATATATATATATATATATCCGTACATGAACCGTCTGATTGTTGCAGATCCTTCTACTATGTGGTGCACCAGGGCTTGGGAAAACAACACTTGCACATGTGGCAGCCCGGCACTGTGGATACCGTGTGGTGGAGGTTGTCGATGGTTTTTT